ATCATTGCTTTGCTGAATCTGTCAAACCAAGCTCTGTGGGATTGTTTCAGTCCGTATAAGGCTTTCTTCAATTTGCATACCTTTCCTTGACTCTGTGCAGTATCAAATCCAGGAGGAATCTCCATATACACCTTCTTTTAAGTCTCCATGAAGAAATGCATTCTTTACATCAAACTGTTGCAAGTCCCCATCAAGATAAAAGAATTCTAACAGTGTTCATCTTAGCAACTGGGGCAAATGTCTCTTGATAATCCACTCCATAAGTCTGAGTGAATCCCTTAGCCACCAATCTTGCTTTGAATCTTTCAATTGAGCCATCAGCTTTGTGCTTCACAGTAAAGACCCATTTGCAGCCAACCAACTTCTTGTCTGGTGGTGAAGTAACAAGTTCTCATGTCTCATTTTTTGACAAGGCCTTCATTTCTTCAATCATAGCTTGTTTCCATTTAGGATCTGCAAAAGCTTCCCTCCAATTCTGGGGAATATACACAGAAGAAATAGACAAGACAAAGGCTCTATAGGAGGGAGACAAAGAATTATAGGAGACAAAATTAGATAAAGGATGTTTGGTGGTGCAAGATCTGACTCCTTTTTTGAGAGCAATAGGTTCATCTAACTCATTAGGAAATGTAGATAACTCACGAAGGTTTAGCTTCGGTAGATTGCATGATGGCTTCTTCTGCTCTATTTTTCCTCGAGTAAGTTTTCAAATCAGGCCTATCCAAACGCCCAATAGTCTCCCCTTGAATTCTTTCTCCAATTTCACTTTTCTCAGTGACAATGTCATCAAGAGGTCCAGTAATGGAACTAGGTAAAATCACCTCTTCCTCCTTACTGCTCTCCCCCTGAAGAGGTGATGAGGTAATACTGAAATAGGGCTCAGATTCTCGAAAGGTAACATCCATGCTAACAAAAGATCTCCTAGAGGGAGGATGATAACATTTGTAACCTTTCTGTGTCGGAGAATACCCAATGAAAACACACTTAATAGCTCTAGGATCAAATTTCCCAGAATTTCTAGTGTGGACAAAGCAAACACACCCAAACACCTTTGGAGGAACAATATATTCATTCTTACCCTTTAAAGTTTCCAGAGGACTTTGAAAGTTGAGGGGTTTAAGTGGCATTCTATTGATAAGATAGGCAGCCGCTAGAATAGCATCCCCAGTAAGGTTTTGGTAGATACATGGTGAACATAAGAGATCTTGCTACTTCTAACAGACGCCTTTTTTTTTCTTTCAGCGATCCCATTTTGTGCACTAGTGTAAGGACAACTAGTTTGATGGGATATCCCATTGGACTCCAAATAAGCACCAAATCTTTTATCCATGTATTCGCTGTCGTTGTCAGTTCTCAAGATTTTTATTTTGGCATCAAACTGAGTAAAAATCATCTTATGAAATGACTAAAAACAAGAGAAAAATCACTTTTGGCTTTTAACAAATATACCCAAGTCATCCTAGTGCAACAATCAATGAAAGTAACAAACCATCGACAACCAGACAAAGAAACAGTTTGGGTAGGACCCCATACATCAGAATGAATATCTATAAACGGAGTTGTGCTTTTGTTATCACTCACAGGATAATAGTTTCTAGTATGCTTGGTAGGGGTGTTCATGGTTCGGTTTGGATCGGTATTTCCCTAAAAAGAAACCAAACCAACTAAGTCGGTTTTTCAAATATTAGAACCAAACCAAACCAATTAAGTCGGTTTTTTCTCGATGCGGTTTATGTCGGTTTTTCGGTTTTTTCGGTTATTTGTCGGTTTTTTCTTAAATATAAGACATACACTACCAAACACACATTTTGGCGACCACATTTTCAACGTAACACTATCAAATCAATTGCCTTTGAGAAATCTATTATTTACCAAGATATATGGATGATAGTTGAATCAAATAGTGATGAATAATTTAAGGACTCAATTTAAAATATATTATTTTTAACATGAAATAGATTCTTACACTTAACAAAAGAAAACTACCAATTAAACTAGAATGTAACGGTAAAGAACTGTACCAAAAGTGCAAACGATTACTATTTACTATAAAAATTTTAAAACTTTGTATAAAAATATACATATATATAGGTGTAATAATAAATTTAAAATAGCTACTCCTATATTCGGTTTGGTTCGGTTTTTTTTTTTTTTAATTAAAACCAAAACCAAACCAAATTCGATCGGTTTTTAAATTTCAAAACCAAAACAAAACCAAACCAAACCAAAAAGTATCGATTTTTTTGGTCGGTTTGGTTTGGTTTTCGGTTTGGTTCGGGTTTTCGGATTTTTATGAACACCCCTAAAATTGCTTGGCATATTCACACGCATCACAGAACAAAGATTCAAATCAAGTCCTTGAAAACAAATCGGGATATGACTTCTTCAAAACAAAGAATGATGGATGTCCTAACCGTTTATGCCGTTGTATTATTTCTTGGTTGACACCCTTACTTTCCCCAAAAAAAATCTTGACTAGAGTTTTGAATCCCATCTAATATATACAAGTCATCACGCAATCTACCATTGCCAATCCTTTTCCCTGTTTGAAGATCCTGAAAAATACAATGATCGGGAAAGAACTCGATTTTACAGTTTAGAGCTTTGGTGATGGCACTAACAGATAAAAGATTGATAGGGAACTCAGTGACATGGAGCACAGATGATAGTTCAATATTAGGAGTTCAAATGACAGAACCTGTTCCAGAGATACGTGTTTAAGAACCATTAGCTATTTTAGTATTATCTCCTTTGGGACATGGAGAATAGTTTTAAATGCCTTTAGAAGAGCATGTCATGTGTCTATTTGCACCAGAATCGACAATCCAAGAATTAAAGTTATCAACAAAGGCAGTGCCTGATTGCACATGATTGGATGTGGCAACATTAGCGGAGTCAAGTTTGGCTAGGAGGCGACAGGAAAGCTGAATTTCATCCGAAGACAAGATTTCTTCAGAAACCGTCTCTTTGAATGTCTTTATATTTCGGCCCAATCAGAAGGAAATCAGAAGGAGTTTGTGTTGCGAATAGCCAACATGAGAGAGAAAACTCGACCTCTTTGATAAAAAGGAACTCTAGTGCTGCGAGGGAGATAACTCACCTCAAAAAGGCAACAATGACTCTGATACGATGTAGATTTTTCTTCTTGTATTTATGTGGTGTTTATATCCCATGAGCAAGAGAATTTATGCAAAGCTCCTAATGCTAATTAAGGAAATAAAATAAATCAATACAATCAATCCAGCTATTAAATTAAATCAAATAAAATCAGATCTCCTTAATATAATCAAATCTCCTGAAATCATGTTAGTCAACACTCCTAAATCAAGTATCCTTGAATCATGCTAATCAACAGCTACTTCCACCTTGTGGCGAATGTGGTCATTTTTAATAATCACTTGTTAAATAATCAAAAACGGGTTTGATAATCCAAACCAAACAAGCCTATACTAAGGTATTGCTCTTCTGGGCACTTAAGTGAGTTGGAGATATTATTATCATAGTGTCCCTCTTTGCATCTTGTCACAATCACATTTTCTTCTTAGTTGGTATTAGTAAAAATAGCATAGAAGATGTTGCACCATTATAGCTGGCAGCGTATACATGTACCTGTATCGATTACCAGAAGACCTTGTAGAGGCCCAACTCACTTATTGTGAACATGTGAAATGTGGACAGAAGTGCAAAACCTTTAGTTGCATTCATAACATTTGTATATTGATTATGAAAAATATGTGGTGAGGAAGGTACGCGTGCAGTCTCCCAGTAGGATAGGTGAAAATTCATTGGCAGCATCGTATTGGGCGTAGAGCTTTTTGTGGGTTGAAAATACTAAGTTTATTCACTAATTGTTGTTTCCTATCATTCAGGATTAGCGGTTGAACTTAAACCTATTGAGAATAAATTGATGGAGTGTGGAAGCTGGTTTTGGAACTACAAGATAATGGGCAAACATGTTCAGTTGGAATTGGTGGAGTTATAGGATGATTGACAGAGGTCTTACCAACTTCTTTTGTGAATCGTGGTTCACAACCGGGGCTTGTAACTCCATTTTCAGGCTTGGTTGAACAAAAGTTGAACCACTCGAACTTTCTGATTAGTTTTGTGATTAATTGGAGCTGTTTGTAATTTAGTTGTAAATCATGTTTATAGCAATTTGACAACTCTAATACCACAGGTGTATATTTTTCTTTCCCTTTTTCGTGTAAATGTAAATAATTCATGTTTCTCTCCAGGTTTCTTGGTCATTGTTGTAAATTTTTTGAATATTTGTAACAAAATCTATTCCATTAAAGATGAATGCTCGTGGCATCTATGTTTATTTTTATGTTTGTAGTTTGATGGCAGTTAGGGATAACCTCTTTTAATTTGGATTGAAGTTGCAGTGTTTTATTTTTGAGAAAAAAAAGGAAACAAGCCAAATAAAATATGACGATAGTAAGAAGTTGCAGGTTTTTTCTTTTCACGGCAAGGGCCTAATTAGTGTGTGAACAATGTATTATCATTGATTATGTTGCCCGGAGGTGAAGCTGTTTCTATCGGTAGTCAAGTTGGAGAGGAAGAACGCGCCAGCAAGCGTTTATGGCTTGGATTCAAACACTTGGACATTTTACTCCTACTCTTCTCACGTTTCTGCTTTGCCACTTCATTCTCTATCCGGTGATCGCTTCTCTGGATACTAATGTTAATCCATAAGGTTTCATCCTTGTCAGAGGACCCATGAAATGCAGTTATATCTCCATTTGAATGTTCTCATCTTAGAAGGTTTCCCCTTGATTTTCTCCTCTGTGCTTTTTTCATGCTCAAAGGAAGTCGCGGGTTCTAGCCGTGGAATCAGCCTCTTGCAGAAATGCAGGGTAAGGCTGCATACAATAAACCCTTGTGATCTAGTCCTTCCCCGGATCCTGCGCATAGTGGGAGTTTAATGCACCGGGCTGCCTTTTTTTAAAGAGAGCAGATTTTCATGATCAAAGTGCTGAAAGTAATATACCAACTCATAATAATTTGCATTTCAATGTGGCTTCAATGAAGAAGAGTTTTACAACTTGATTGGATGTTATCAGGTTTATGGTGAAAGGGATAAAGGTTGAATTACAGTAACTTAACGTAAAAACTATTTCCATCCATTTACATTCTTGTTAACAGTGTATTCATTTCTCTCATTCATCAGGGTTACTGAGATTGAGAGCAGCATCTATTAAGTAATCTTAGGAGAGCGTCAGCCTTTCTTCGAGCTCTCAGGGATCCATCTGCAGCCAAGCTTTGGAGAGAAGGAATGCTTCTTGGATTCATTAGTAATTTTCCTGCAATCTCTTCTCCACTATCCTTGCAGAGTCCCAACAGTAGTGTTATTGAATGATCCTTCCCTTTTGAAGATCCAAATCTCAAGAGATCAACAAGAAGAGGAACCAAGATCCTACTCTTTCTCAATGCTTGCAGCCCTTCGTTGCAGCCCAAGACAAGGGCAAGAACCGCCAACGCATCATCAGTTATACCAGCTTTGTCATCCATCAGAAGTTTAATAAGTAGAGGAACAGCTCCAGCAAGCACTATACTTGGCCTGTTAGCATCATAGACTGCAAGGTTAAAAAGTGCTATAACAGCATCCTTTTTCCCTGCTGTAGTTCCTTCTTCTAAAAGTCCAACCAAAGCTGGAATTGCTCTGGTACGTGCCCCTATGATTACTTTGTATTCGTCGATTACAGACAAGCTGAATATTGCTGCTGCTGCATTTTCTCTTGCTTCCATTGTTTTCCCACATTGGAGGACTTCAATTAAGCTGTCGATAACACCAGCAGACATAATCAGGATCTTGTTATTCTCATGTATTGAAAGGTTGAGCAATGCTGTGACTGCATTCTCCTGGATTCTTGGATCACGGGAACATAGCAGAGTCATCAGAAATGGAATAGCTCCAGACTCAGCTATGATCCTGCGATTGTCCATGCCAGTTTTTGCTAGCAATCTTAGTTCATATGCTGCCTGTCTCTGTATATCTGGAGATCCTGTTGCCAATTTCCCAACTAAAAACTCTGCTGTCATTTTCACAGCATCTGTGGCAGCTTTAGTAGCAGAAATGTAGTCAATGGCCTTGTCACAGTTCTTAATCTTACTGCTGCTGCTGCCTTCTGAATCTGAAGGAGATAATGTAGGTTCTGTTATTGGAATGTTGTTCTCTTGGCACCATTGATGGATTAGACTTTTCAGTGCATAGTTAGGAATGAGAGCCATATGTATCAGCCTCTGACCACTTTTTGGACAAGTGTGGTGCCCTGAATTTATCCACTGAGCGATTGAATTTCGGTCATAAGTATGGCCTGATGCTATTATCACAGGATCCCTCATCAAGTCAAGTGAAATTGGACACCGGAATTCATCAGGGATGTCGGGAACCACTGAATAACACAAGGAGCATTGATCAGCACGAGCACTCATTGGTGCTGGCTGCTTCAAATTTTGCTTAATCATGAGGTGTTCTTCTTCCAAAATTGCTGCTTTCGATAAGGAGACCAAGGATATTAGGCTGTTGATATTCGAGATGGCGATGAGTCCACCTGTGCCTGCCTGTTTCTCAGCTTCTGCCTCTAATTTCGAGATCTCTTCCTCATAATCTAATGAGCTTCTCAAACCAACGCTGATCATAGTGTCCTTCATTCTCCGAAAGTCAATGAAACCTTTGTTCTTGCTGTTCTTATCACAGTTATTAGTAGCCATCAACTGGAGAATCTCTTCCCTTTTCTGAATTTCTCGAGGATCAATGAACAAGTCAGCCCTTTTCGCCTGCTTAAGAAGTAGCTCCACTTGCTCCTTGGTGTCTACAGTTACATTAAGCAATCTCAGGGGTAAAATATCAAGTGCCTTCTCCATCTCCTTCATCAGTGCATGAAATTGGTTCGAAACCAATTCTGTCTGCATGAGATTCCACAAAGAGCTGCTCTCTTTGCAACTTCCTATGAGGAGCTTTACCTTTCTTATGACAGAGAAAAGCTCAGTCAAACAGAGGATTGAGGATGGTGGAAGTAGTGCAGTGGATGATGTTTCTTGAATTTCTTCAAACAATGAAGAAAGAATCTTGATCCTTCTTACCATTGTTGAGATGTTCTTGACCTGTAAAAATGGAAGCTTTTCCATTGACAATACTTGGTTAGAGATGTGAATAAGTGTTTCCAGCAAATTCCCACTTGGAAGAAATCCTGAGGAAACCATGAGTGGAAGTTCATTCATTTTTTGGCAATGCGTTGAATATGTATCATCAGTTCATGATGACTAAGTCATTGATCAAGGTTTTGTTGTTGAAACTTTCTAAATTCTGTTAAGGGGAAAAAATATTAAAGTTATGAACTGTATTGACTTTTTCTGCTTGTACTGTTATGTTGTAAGCGACAGTAAGATGGCTGGTTGAAGGTTAAAGCAAAAGTCTTGAATTGCTGCCACTTGGAGGACATACTAGGCTGCAGGTTTTTGTATAATTCCTATTGCTAATTTTGTATTCCCATTTGACTAATGGGGTAATATATTTGTCAAATGAGACAGAGGACTCCGTCTACTTTCATTTTGGTGGCCCAACTTTCTTATTCAAACTGTATTTTCATGTTTTGTGTCTAAGTTTTGGGCACTTATCGTGTATACCCGTATTTTTTACCCCATCAGGTTATAAAGTTAATGATCTTTATAACAAGCTTGATATGACCATATGAAAAATAAAATAATAGTTTGCTATAAATGAGTAAACTTATATTTTTTAAGACACTGCAGTTTTCGTCCATGCATATATTGTTGAATCTGAATACACTGGAAGTTCTAACATCCGAGAATTATCCTAATTAGATTAACTGTTTAAAGGTTTGACCTGGGAATCATAGTAATACTATTTTCTGTTTAAATGGTTAAAATATCATGGTATAGCCAGTTTTCACACTGGTCAATGAAAAATAGCCAGCGTTTATCAAGTCAATAAAAAATAGCCACTATTTTGCTGCAACAGGGACCGGTCCAGTATAATATACGGGAGTTCTGGTGCATTTGTGTACGAACTCCAGCATATTATGCTGGACCGGTATACTTTGCTAACTCCTGTAAAATTTGCGGGAGACTGGAGCACCAGTGCTCCAAACTCCAGTATATTATACTGGACAATTATACTTGCTGGAACTCCCGTAAAATTTGCGGGAGTTCCAGCATAATTATGCTTGAACTCCCGTAAAATTTGCGGGAGTTCCAGCATAGTTATCCTGGAACTCCCGTAAAATTTACGGGAGTTCAAGCATACTTATGCTGGAACTCCCGTAAAATTTGCGGGCATATTTTTCCGGATTTTGAACAGTGTTTTCGCTCAAATTTAAAGTGGCTAAATTTCGATGACTTTTGAAACTTGGCTATTTTTCAACGACCAGTGGTAAATCTGGCTATTTTTGAATTTCTCCCGTTTAAATGAGGCTGGATTTATCTACCTGTCAAAGGTACATTGAAAAGTTCTTGACGGGTATAACAAATAACCTTGTATTTTAATATTATCAAACACAGTGATCTAAAAGTTACAATAACATTTGGCATTTTATCAATACCCACAAAATCTCCTGCCGAATCTCACAAGAAATATTAACTACAAGACGATATATAGAACAAAATTGGATATGAAGACAATGTCCTGGACGAATAAATTAAACTTTTTATAGTCTATTATATATTCAAGGTAAGATAGCTGGGTACTCCAAGAGTAAGAAACAAAAAATAAATTAGAGAAGTCAAGCAGAAAAATTTTATTGCTATCTCTGCGCACATGGGAAAGCGAAAAGTGGTAAATCTATCTCCTCATATAGGTGATGCATGTTTTTGCTTTTGATAAATCGCCTCAATTAACTGTATTATATATACATCAGGGTTATATGGTTCCCAACAAACAACAGCAAGTAATTGAAATGTACGACATGAACAGGGAGCATTCTTATGGTTGGTTGTCATTGTATATAGTTATATACTGTCGTCCACATAGGATTAGGTTGTAAGAATATTTCAGGAAAATGATAATATCTAACATCCATATAGTAATGATCAACACATGATGCCATGCATGAGGTTAATTAAGTTTTGTGTATTGGATGTGTATACAATTTTTACATCATCAGATTAACAAGACCTATAACGTGTAACTCTTCAAAGAAAATTTGATATGGTAAATTGAGTAATAAAGTAACTACTTATTGTATCACTCAAGCAGATCGAATATTAGTTTAGGTTGAGTTTTCTTGGTGTGGTGATACCATATTGATAATCGCATAAGTGCACTGCCTTAAAATAAATAATTGTTGCATTATAGTTAATAGTAGCAAAATGGTTAAAAGAAAATAACCATTCACCCATGCTATATTAAAAATGAGTTGGATAATGAACTTTTTAAAAACGGGTCAAATATGGATAAGAACCATATTATCCACTTAGAAAATGGATAACTAATGGGTTTAACCTTTACATTTGTAAAGCCTCAAATTGTTCCCGAAGTTTGGGAGACTAGGAATTCTCCCAAAAGTGATCATATTCAAGATATTCATATTATTCGCCGGTTAACCCGTTTTTTATCCGTACTAGTTTCTATGTACGCGTTTCACACGTAACAGCCCAACTAAGAAGAGAAAGATGAAAAAAAAAAAACGATAAAGTAAGTACAATACAATAGACACGACTAATAATAAACACTGTTAATTTCATGCAACTTATATCTTATAAAATATCACCTTTTTAGCTAATTCATACCATATAGGAGTATGTTTTATTATCACTATTGCATTTTAATTATTTATATAAACAAAGCAGGTAAGGAAGACTGTGGTGTGCATTCATTTACAGATTAAACTACAAGAACTTGTGTTTTGTTGTAGCCTTTTACTATAAGAATGAGAAGAAGCTTTTATGTGATGACCCAAAAGGTCATCACTTGTTTTAGAAATAAATTCAGTGTTCCGAGGCCTGAAAATCTCCTTTTTATCCCACCTTGATTTGTGTGCGTGGTCCGGACCTACATCCGAAAAACCTTCTATGTGAAAATATGAGAAATAGAAATTCCAAGAGTTAAAATTTGATTATGGTTGACTTCAGTCAACATTTTGAGCAAACGGACCCGAATCCATGTTCCGACGATCCCGGGAGGTCCGTAGGAAAATATGAGACTTGGGCGTATGCCCGAAATCGAATTCCGAGGTCCCGAGCTCGAGAAATAAATTTTTAAAGAAAATTATTTTCTGGAAAATATATGAGTTTTTAGAAATAAGATGTGTTTAAAATTTGATGGTATCGGGCCCGTATTTCGGTTTCGGAGCCCGGTACAGGTCTTATATGTGGTTTAAGTTAAGCCTGTGAAATTTGGTAAGAAACGGACTTGAAATGACGTGAATCGGACCTTATTTGAGAAAAATTGGAAATTTTTTGATGTTCTTAATTGATTTCATGATTTTGATGCTAAATTCATAGTTGTTGATGTTATTTTGGTGATTTGAATGCACGAGCAAGTCCGTATGATATTTTTGGGTTAGTGTGCATGTTTGGTTTGGAGCCCCGAGGGCTCGGGTGAGTTTTGGATAGGCCACGGAGTAAAATTTGGACTTAGGATGTTGCAGATTTTAACTGGTATATTGCAGGCATGAAGGCTTCGCATTTGCGAAGCCTGGCTCGCAAATGCGAGCTTGCAAATGCGAAGGCTATATCGCAAATGCGAAAGAGCCCATGCCAGCATTACCTTGCAAATGCGAGGTACCCATCGCAATTGCGATGCCTCCAGTTGTAGCCGGTCCTCGCAAATGCGACAAATGTATCGCAAAAGCGACTTCGCAAATGCGAATATCCCTTCGCAAATGCGAATGTCCCTTCGCAAATGCGAGAATAGAAAACTTCTGGGTTCGCAATTGCGAACCCTGGTCGCAATTGCGACATCAGAGACCTGTAAATTCATAACTTAGACGCATTTTAACCATTTTTCACACTCTTTCAAAACCAGAACGCTCTTGGGCGATTTTTCAAAGGCAATTTCTTCTCTAATTCGATTGTAAGTTGTTTCTAACTCGTTCTCTTCAATCTTTAACATCTTTTCACATGATTTCAACTCAACAAAGGTTTCATGGGGGAAATTGGGGTGTTCTGGGTAGAACCTAGGTTTTTGAAATTTTGGGAATTTGGACCTCGATTTAGGTCCGATTTCAAAACAAATTGTATATTTGAGTTCGTGGGTGAATGAGTAATCGAGTTTTGGTCCGAACCTCGGGTTTTGACCATGTGGGCCCGGGGTCAATTTTTGACTTTTTGGGAAAAACTTTAGAAAACTTATTTCCATGCATTAGAATGGATTCATTTAGAGTTTATTGATATAATTAAGTAACTTGTGGCTAGATACGAGCGAATTGGTGGTGGAATCAAGAGGTAAAGCGATAGTTGAGGCTTGAATTGTGTTCGAGGCATCGAGGTAAGTGTTTGGTCTAACCTTAGCTTGAGGGATTAGGAGTCGTGTCCTATTTGCTATGTGTTATTTGTTGAGTACGATGTATAGGCATGGTGACGAGTATCTATACGTTGGTGTCAAGCATGCCCGTGAGTCTTATATTATGATTATTATGACTCCGTTTGTATTGTTTATGCCCTTTTGTGATGATTTCTATTATTGGGCAAAATTTGTGGAATAAATGGTAATATTGAACATTGAGGAGCGTTGGCTCAAGTTGTGAAGTGAATTGTGAAAGAATAATTAGCAATTAAACATTGTAGAGCATTGGCTCAAATTGTGAATCGAGTTGTGAAATAAATGTGAAAAAGAGAAGAGGATTATGGTATTGCTCCATTGCCGGGACGTTGTGGTTTTTAATATTGCTCCCTTGCCGGGATGTTGTTGCTTTGCTATTGTTACCTTGCCGGGATTTTATTGTGATTCATTTATTTCCTTGCCCTTATTGTTTGTGATTGTTGTTTGGGTGAGGAAGAGTGTAAAGCACGAAGGGTGATGCCGTGCATTGTTTTGGTGAGAGAGTGTTAAAGCACGGAAGGGTGATGCCATGTATAAATTTTGTGAGGAAGAGTGTAAAGCACGAAGGGTGATGCCGTGCCGCATGATGTACCATTCTGTGCCGATTATATTGATTTTATGGTGAGGATGAGAATAAAAGCACGAAGGGTGATGCCGTGCCGATTATATTGATTTTATGGTGAGAATGAGAGTAAAAGCACGAAGGGTGATGCCGTGCAGTTTATATTGATTTCTATGGTGAGGATGAGAGTAAAAGCACGAAAGGTGATGCCGTGCACTTGTTTGATTTCTGATTCTCGTTGAAAATTGAGTTATGGTGTTCCTTGTGTTTACCTGCTGATTTTCTGTTATCGTTTGTTGTTTCCCCGCAGCATGTTTCCCCCTCCCATCCTTGACTGTACATTTCTGCT